ATCTATATGTGTGCATTCGATATTAATAATTGGGTGGTGAGTGCTGTGTTCCAAAAGCATGCATATCTGCACCAACTGCACAAATCCACTATTCCAAACTACTCCTATATCTCTCCCATTATATAGATTTCATTACCTTCCGATAAAATCTTCCACACTTAACAGATTCTGAAAGTTCAGAACATTAAATCTACTATTCATTGTTGTCAGAAACAGCAGGGCATTTGAAAACTCAATGTTTTCTCATGTTACTGATGAAATCCATTGTTTGCCAAATGGGTGTCACTTTTATACTTAGGTTACTTTTTCGGAATTACTTATATAAAAGATGGCAGTATTTTTCTGAAAGACATGAAACCTTTTGTAGTCGTCTCGGTTTCTGAGTCAGGTGGGCCAGCAGATGTTCAAGGCGCTGCTAATGAGAAGCAGGCCTACCTGGCTCATTGGCACAACTTGAGGGTTGGTGATTCTTCCCACTTGGCTCCTATTAATCTTGCATGTCAAAGCTTTAATGGGTAGGGAGGTTTTAGCTGGACAAGAAGAGGAAAGCTTGACTCCATTCTCCATGTGTAGGCGGCATACATATGTGAAACTTTCAGTCTGGTTTGGATACTGTAGGCCATATTGAGGCACTGTTTTTTTTCATAATCTTTTCATAATGCATTGAATGTGAAACGCATCTTGATCTCCTTGATTCAGGATTGGAAATATAAAAGGTGAGATGGTGGGTGCTGCTATCAGGATCTCTGGCTAGTCAGGTAATTCAGTGATTAGATATAGAGGAGCTCTGAAAGTTAATTCACAGAGCAATGGGAGGAAGGAAATATATAGTGGGAGAAGGAGATGGATGAAGAAAGATATGTGTGCGCACAATAAACCAGGAAAAATACCAACAATATCTGTAGAAAGATTAAGTGGCAGAGCGTGGGATGGGCTGAGCAGCTTTTTAAAATTGGTTCCAGCATCTGGGAACTATGTAATGCCAACGATTTCCCAGTACTATAAAGGTCACATGTATCATAACCCTAAGTTGGGAGAGTATGTTTTGGAAGAAATGTTTTCTTTTGCACACTAATTTGCAATTTCTGCTGAATTTTAAGGCTTTGCAAACAGAAAATGATTTTGGCTATAGATGACAAGTGCGTATATATTGGAGTTTCGGAAGGCTCCAAAAACACTTTGTGTAATCTATGTAAAACTCATTTGTCAGCTAAACACCATTCGAATAGTGGTTTAATGATTGGCATCTATTTAAATCTATTTAATCTTCAGAGTTAAAGCAAACATGAGATGAAGACATATACTAAAATTGAGTAGCAAAAGTGCTTTGTGTGTTGTTTCTTTCTCTGTGAGCTTTTCTTGAAGAGAATTCATTTTCATACCTTCTTCGGTGACTCACTGGGCTGTGAACCACCTTACAGTAGTGATAGGATTGGTGGAAGCTCTCATAGGGGAATGATGAGCCACAATAGCTAAGGTGAAACTGGAACTCCTGAGCTGGACTATATGTCATATACTGTTATTACCTTAGTCATAATATTCATGAGCAAACTCAATATGACTTTTGATACCAATACTGTCACGTATTCACCCATGAGTTGATAAGCTTCGTTCTTTCTCAGTCAGTTCATATTAATAGGGATCTTATCTTAATAGACAAAAGAGGTTCACTAAATACTCTAGAGAACATTATGAAGCATACTTTGGAGTGAGGTGCCAGGTTCCCGTGGTATGAGTCATTTGCATGCTTTTAAAAGTTACAATACAGTACTTTTTACTGATATGCTTTATCTGAAAGAATATTTGTCATTCACTAGAAAATAAATATGGTTGCCAGGGAGCAAGAAAGAAAGCCAAAAGTATGGGATTTTGCAAAATATCATTATAAATATGAGAGAGAAAGAGGAAGGAAAGAGTGTTTAGACTGATTAAAAAGCTCCTTAGTAATGTCAACATTGAAATGCTAATCACTTGTGCCAAAGCAGCTGCTTCCAGCAAGAACATGGATTCAGAGAATTGCAGCTTTAAGGTTTCTTAATGTGCTGTTTACGTGTTAAAGTTTACCCTATTTTGCTTGCCTGAGTGTTTGAAATGAACACCTGCTATTTCATTTTAATGCTGGGTTATCAGCCACATTAGCTGTGGGAAGGAAATGGCAAGCGTGTACCATGAAACAAAATTCAGGGTAACCTACCTACTAAGTATCACATTTGTTAAACCACAGCCTTACTTACAAGAATGTAAAACCCAGAAAATAGCTTTCATGCTTCTTTGTTTTCGCTGATTCTGAAGAAAAATTTATTGAAAATTTTGATTTGCAATTTCTGGATAAATTTGATATCAATTTCAAAATAGGTTTGTCAAATAACTTTGATTGTGACATATGAAATATTCTATTACAAATTAAAATTGACCCTGAACCAACATTTAAAGCAACTACTGAGCAAGCAATGAAACTTGGCATCCCAGGTAGCAATGTACTGGCGTTCCAATGACCTGCTCCCAAGATTTGTGAAGCTCCTGAGCTGATTCTAATTACAATACAAATTACACTTGTATAGCAGCTTTCAACTCGGGAAGACATCCCAACGTACTGGACAGTCAGGGATTTAGACCCGAGCTGAAGGTCGGAATCAGGGAGGGTGAAGAACAGGGAGGGTAGGATGGTGGCCAAAGGCTCGGTCAAAGAGATGTGCCTTGAAGGAGGCAAGGGAGGAAGCAAGGCAAGGGAATGTTGCATGGAGTTCATGGAGTGGGGGCAGGAAGACTGAAGGCCCGGCCATCGATGGTAGAGCAGACCTGGCGGGGGACGTGGAGCAGGCCAGAGCCTGCTGATTGAAGGGAGTGGACAGGTTGATATGAGGTCAGCAGGTCGCATAAGTAGGGAGGGGTAAGGCCGTGGAAGGCCTTGAAGGCGTGGAGGGTGAAGAGTTACCTATATAGTAACTCTTCACCTGAGGCACAGTGTGAAGGAAAGCAGGGTGCAGGTTCAAGGTCAGAAAAGAAATGTTAGGAGAGACACTAGGAAGTATTATTTTACCCAGAGGGTAGTTAACAACGATCATTGAGGCTAGGACACTGGACTCATTCAAGAAATGGCTCAATTCTGTAACGGGAGGATGGTAAGATGGGTATTCTGAAAGGTTGAGATCAAATGAAACAAAGGACCTTCTTCATTTGAACCTCTTGTGATCAAAGTGTTCCCTACAGAAAAGGAATAAGCAGGTGAGTCACCCGAGGTTGTTTTGGATATTCCTTGGAAGCATTTAGAGATCATGTAAAGTGACGTGATTACCTATTGGTGGTATGGAGGAAACATTCTAATTTAGCAACTACAAGTGATTTTTCAATGTTAAATCAGTATTTAAGAGACATTAAAGTATTGCCATATTGAGAGGTTTTGTACCATTGATTCCCTTGAATGGCTAGTTTGCATGACATTTTGCTGCAATTCTGCCATGAAGAGTTTGTGCTGGAAGGGAGCAAACATGTAATGGAACTGTTTCAAAACAAGTTGCATTCTTCAATCCTACTTTTTAAATTGGAATAAAATACAACTAAAATTTTGATCAGAAACAATGCATTATGTTGCCAAGTGTTTTGCTCACTTAATGAAAACTTTACTCCTTTAATTGATAATATAAAATACCATTTATATTTATAAAAGCACCTTAGACTTTGGGAGGATGCCTCAACGCACCTAAAGATTCAGCAATTAAAAGTAGTCTAAAAACTGTTAACTGCATATTACAGTATTTCTCCTGGTCCATCCAACCACCTCACTGGAAGGATAATTTTGTAAATATATTTTAAGAAGTGTGGTACTATTTTAATGACCCTGAAATCGTGAAGAGACTCGAACTTCAACTGCAATGTTTTCCTAAAAATGAAATTATTTATGGATATTAAAATAAAAGTTTACTTTTGGTCAAATAATGTTTTTAAAGAAACACAAAAAACTATGATGTGTAAAAAGCAGAAGGAATAGATAGCTTTTCTTCTATTGCTCAGTCTTGTTAATGTTTAACCAGTCATTGCAAGTACTCTTTATGCTTACTCTTATTATCAATTGAAAGCAGGTGTTCCATTCTGCAAATGGAGGACTTGCCTGCATTTAACTGCTCACACATTAGTCTTGGAAATTTCTGTATGTGTCTGTGTTAAAGTTTTTCTAATGCAAAACCACAAGAAGTGTTAAAGGGAACCTAAAATTTATTCTCTGACTCCAGGTAAACAGTTTAAGAGTGTACACTGAGGAAAACATCAGAAGGCTTAAGTAGCCTGTGAGTTAGAATACCTGTATGAATTTTGCTTCTTGGAGCTGAATTAATAATAGTTAAGTCAATTTATTTCTTTTTTGCTATCCTTGGTCTTGCGGGAAAGGAAATTTAGTATTGATGCAATTGCATAAGGTACAGCAAAACAATGACCACAAAACACAAGACTGCAGTGTCGATCACAGGACATCTTGATTGATGAAAGAAGTGGGACATGCAATTGTCACACAGTTGCGCCTTAAGGTAATATTTAACATTTATTTAAAATGCATCTTTTGGGCAGTCGGGAGACTTTGGCGTTAACCATGTACTTTATTTATCCCTCGATTCAATGTGACTAAGTGTCTTTCTATATTCAAAATGAATTGCAAAAAAACATTCAATTAAAATAAACTTTTTTATGAAAAGCTTTGTCTGACATAAGGATTCACATTTGTAGAAAAATGCAATATATACATATATTTTACCTCATAAATATGTTAAATAGCACAATTTCAAAAATAAGTTTATATTTGTACCTTAAATCAAACATAATTGAACCATTACTTAAACAATTTTCATTTAATTTATCAACTGGGAAAAACTTTTTCCAGCATTTGGTAATGCAGGTGATTTTCAGTATTTTACTTCATACTTTTTAGCATTTTACTGGAGAGTATTTGTACCATTCTCAGCATTTTGTTCGGTACTCGGTTCTCCTTTATGCCCTTCATACCATCCTCACCTTCCCATGGCAGCCGAAACACAACATTCTTCCATGGGTTTGTTACCAGACTTGATTCCTTACATGCTTTTGTTAGCCTTTCTAGCTCAATCCTCCACAAGCTTTAGATAACTTTTCCCTTAGACTGCTTTGGGAGCCCATTACCACCCTCCACATCTTCACTAGGCTCAACTTCAGGATTCTTGTGCTAACGTTTAAAGCCACAATGCTCCTTCCGCATCTTATCACTGTTAGCTGTTGCAGTCTTACTTCCCTACTATGCTAACTTTGGTCTGCTTCGTGTACCCGTCTCCCTTTTGCTCCACCATTAGCAGATGAACTGTCAGCCCTTTTCCCTGTTTTCTGAAGTTCTCTCTCCCCATATTACTCTGCCTCTCACCTCCAAAACCATTTCTACTTTAAAATCCATTCTTAAAAACCTCACTGGCTTTCGGGCACTCGTAATCCCCATTCCTCACCTTCCACCCTACTCAGAATCTACTCCATCTCTGTGAATCTCTTTGATTCATTTTCCTGTGTGAAAGGGGTTTTACGAGTGCAATTTGTTGCTAATTCCTGAGGATGAAATGGAAGACCGTTGTGTGTATTCCAGGGACTGAAGTGGAATCATGTTTTCAGTGACATCTTGACGTGATAATCGCCTCCTGAATTCATCTGTAGTGAAATAGTATATTATTGGATCCAAGCAACAGTTCAAGCTGGCAAGACACAATGCCACTGGGTGGAAGATGTCAATAAACTTTCTGGCAGAGCAATTTTCGATCTTTCCTGATTTTGTCAAAAAGGCCAAGGGAAAGCTAATGTGATATGGCACAAAGCAAATCAGAAAGACTATTGTGCAAGTCAAAATCATTTTTAAGGCTTTCCTTTTTTCGCCATGGTCTTGAAGAACTGTGTTTTCTCTTAGGGACATGATGGTTTTCCATGAGCAAATTCCAGTAACAATGAGAGGTACCACAAATCCTGTTAGCTCAGCCAAAGTTACCATAATAATAGAGGTTGTCGTCCCAACATCCTTAAGAGGAAGATCTGCAAAACAACTGCTGAAATTTGTTTGATTTTGTTCCAACCTCATTAGTGGAAACGGCAAGCAACCAAGGCCAACAGCTATCCACCCTATAATGCATACATAAACATCATATCTGCGTTTACAGTCATTGTATCTGAAAGGATAGATGAGATACAGGCATCGTCGAACACTGATACAGACCAGGAAGTATATACTTGCATACATGTTCACATATTTCAGGTAAAAACAAAAAATGCACAAAAATTTGCCAAAATACCATGTTTTGTTCAGGTAATAGAATATTCGGAGTGGCAAAGACAGGACTTGTGCTAAGTCTGCAACGGCCAAGTTGATCATAAATATCACAGCTCTTTTGGTTTCTTTGACATAAGCATAGAACACCCAGAGAGCCAGGAGATTTGCTATGAAGCCAGGTATCAATATTACAGTATACACAATGGCATACAGGAAATAAATATCGTCCTTCAAACTGCCACTAGAATTGCATGCCATTTTCCGATTGCCCTTTACCAGAAAACGTCCAGCAGCAAAGTTCTTTTTAGCTAAATAATTGTAGAATAGATGTCTTGGAATGGCTTGATTTTGGAAGTTATGAAAAATAAATGAAATAAATTCAAAGAAGTTATTTCTCAGAAATAGTGAAAAATAAATATAATGAAGTCAATAATTTTCTAAGTTGCTACTGTTGTTCTTTAACCATGAAATTCAGACTTGGGATTAATGCTTGATCACGACAGTCACCAGGCTTTTACAGACAAATTGAGTTGACAACTGACAATAAAATCTTGTGCCCCAGGTTGGTAGGTGTAGTAATAAAAACCGTGATGGATAAAGTTGCATCATTGCCATCAACTCTTTCTGTATCCGTGCCTTGATTGCATTAATTTCTTATCCCTTCAATGTTCCACAATATGGCTGTAAAGTATTTTCTCTCTGCTGACCTTCTCATGACATTTCAACTGGTTGATCTATTTTTCATGATGTTCTCATTAACTGCCTCTCCTGTTGTACACGCCTCGTGACTCTGTACACTGTGGGCTTAGCCCACTCTTCTAGTGGTTTGAATATGAGCAATGTATCTTCTGACATTCGTAGGTGGAGACAATTTAAGATAACGGCACTTGGCACACTCGAGAGTTTCAGAGCTGTTTTGTGTAATAGGGCTTCCTGCAGTTAGTTTTCTGGAAAACAGCAAAAGGGAGAAATTAATATTTATATGAAACTTCTTGAGCAGAACTTAGAATGTTATAAACACTCATAATGCTTTAATATTGAAGGGTTACAGGCCCAAATTTCTTGGATATATGCTTAAGAGAAGTGGAGAGATGAGAAGTTTAGAAAATGTTGCCTGTCTTTGCGTTTTCTATCTGGAATCAATGCAAATGAGCCTACTTAAAGATTATTTCTTTCTGTCAAATAATATCCTACTTTTGACATGTAGTCTAGATTTCAAACAGTATAATACACAATTGTTATAGGCCATTTGCAAGCATCTCAATTTCCGTGTCTTAAAATCCTTCCCAATTATTCAAAAGTGTTTCCCAGGTTAAAAACAAACTGGGAGATTACATTTTTTTGTGTGTGAATATGGAATACTATCTTAACTTAATAATATGGATTTTGTAGGATTTGAAATGTATTCACAGATGTCTATTTTCCACTTACCTAATTTCATAATTTTAGCTAGGACTAGCTATCACTTCGCATTGTTTAGATCTTTATTTGCTGTCTTATGTGAATTCATGCATAAAACTCCATGTACGCATCAGCTTATTGGATATTTTAGAACAGTGCAGTCTCCAGTTCATTCAGTGATTCAGAAACTTCATCTTATTGATAATAATCTTTGCATTTGATTTAGTCATTCACCTCAGACGAACATCTCAAGCCTTCACATAAAGTTCCGTAAATTGTAGTGATTCCATAATTTTAGGTGAACTCCCTTCCCTTTTCAAATAATAGCATGGGATATTTAACGTCCAGCTTAACAGAAAGAACTTAAATATGGATAATTATAAGGTGCTACAAACTAACAGATTAGTATTTATCAAAGAAAAGTTGAAAGAGACCAAGAGGTGTAAGCTTACTATGTTCAAACTGTGAGGCAGAAATAAATAAAGCAAACAATGCTGAGTTATATTGTCAAGTTAAGCTTGTCAAAAGTTAAGCTGAATCTATAATTCCTCTGGTCAGGATGCAATTACAATAATGCGGTCAATTCTGCTTTTTTTGTGTGGCAAATGGTTCCTAAAGGCAGCGTGAAGGATAGCAACTACATTGCTATAGTGATCAAGGGATGACATAGAAATGATTCAATGAGGTAAGGTTCTTCAGTCATGAAAAGATGCATTTCTTGAAGTAAATAAGCTGCTTATTGAAATAGAGAAAGTAATTGTGAAACTATGCTTTCAAATACATCAAGGCAACAAGAGACTGATTCAGGGTTGTAAAACATCTAAACTCAAACCCTAAGTCTTTTGTAAAAACAGAACATTCCCACATTTCAAATTGTACCCTTTAAAACAAACACAACATAATGATCCAATACATTTTCAGTACTCACTGTACTGTTAAACAAATACAAGAAGTTAACTATGGCTTCAAATTGGAAGCAAACAACATTTCAGCATTATGCACTCTTTATATTACTCTTTATATACTAACAGTATATTATTGTGCCTCCTATTTATACCAAATTTTGCATAATTTCATTGTGAATGTCCAGCCAGCTGCAGACTGGCCGAACAAAATAATAGGTTGCATTAAAATTAATGAAGTATTCTGTATTGTTTTAGTCTGCATTAAGTCAGACCCTTGAAGTTTTGTGTTCAAGCCATTATTTTCATGAGACTTTATAATTTGACACTTTATATCAAAGGAGAATTAATTAATAATTCAGATCTATAGAGTATGGTTACATATCAGCCTTTCACAATGGAAGCACTCTTGCCTCTGAGACAGCAGCTTGTGGGTTAAAGCTCCAAGTCAGGATTTGGAATCATATAGTCTAAGTTAAGATGATACTCATGCGGTGCTGTGGGTTTCTGTCCTTTGGATGAGACATTAAATTGGGGTCCCATCTGTCTGTTCAAGTGGATGATAAAAGACACTTTCCTAGTGTCCTGGCCAACTATCCCTCCAAATTAAATTGGGCACTCACTCCATGGCTTTTTGTGCAACATTGCTGTGTGCAATTGGCTGCCACATTTCACCCACAAAATACAGTCAATTCACTTTACAGTATATTCTGTGAATATTTCGACACCTCAATGACTTGATAAGGCGCTATATCAAATGCAAGGATTATTATGGTTGGAAAGCATCTTTATAAAGATGACATGGTTTGTATACGCAATACTCTTTCTGGGAAGACGAAAGAGAGGGAATGGAGGGTGGGAAATGTACTTACAATTTTGCAGATTCTTATTAATACAATGAAATGCCTTTTACTTACACTGGCATATAATCAATGGCCTGATTCTCAAAAATGCTCCAGGTGTTTTGAGGCACCAGCTAATCAAGTCATAACCCTTTTACCTTCCCATTACATCACTTTACTCCCATTTTTTTCTTTTACAACTGGTCCAAAGCTTTGTTTTTTTCAATCTATATTTTAAACTTTTTACTTCTATCAATCAAACTCATCAATTCAATATGGTACATCAGCTTGATCTTCTTCAGCTGGACCCATCTATTTACTGCTGCACTTCATTTCTATCCATTCTGTCAAATGATAGAAACCTTTTTCCATTTATCAGTGTCATCAAATCAAGTATTACCTTATTAATGTAGCAGGAATCAAACTATTAAATGTGTCAAACGTTAACGATGAAATGTAAAAGTGTGTATAAGTGACTCTAGTATTCATATTTTTCTCTTCTACACTAGCACATAACATTTCTCTTCACTTGTTCTAGTTATGTGGTGTTATCTTTAACTCTTTCATAGTATGTTCTATTCTATACCCATAAGCTGCCTCTGAATTCTGATCTCACCAATGCCATAATCTGTTGTCAAATGTGACTGAATACAACAGAACTGGCTGAAAGGCTTAGTCTTAAGAACTAAATGTCAGAGAAATCAAAAAAGAAAGGAAGACAATAGTATTCTGCCCAGTCCTCAGTCTTCTTTTCTTTGAGTTGAGCGTTTCGTTTCGATAGTACCACATTACAATTTCCTACCTTGTTCTGATCTAACCTCTCTTTATGAGTAAAGAGAACAGTAAAGTGTGGCTTATCTAGATTTGGCTGAAGTCCATTGATTTATTTTCTGATTAAATCTGTCAAGCGATGCAAATAATTTTTTGATTGCCCCAGTTGTGTCATTTCAATAGGATCAAATTAAAAATATTCTGTTTAATTCTGTTCAAACAAAGAGTGTCGTGCAAGTGGGCAACAGTTCACATTTGATCAAATAGTAGGATCCTAAACTGTCTCGGATATGTATCATTGGTTTTCACACTCATAGATGTAATATGGCCATGTTATTACAACAAACTGTAACCCTGATCAACTAGTTACAGTTTTCTGTAATAACATGGGCATATTACATATCACAGGCCCACTGTGGACTGCAACAAAATAAATAACTAGCTCATCAGGGTTACAGTTTGCTGTAATAACAGGGCCATATTATATCTGTGAGTGAAAAATAACAATGAGACACACTAGAGACAGTTTAGGATCCTACTTACTATGTGATCAAACGTTAACTGTTGCCCACTTCCACTTATGTGAGTCAAAAAGATACAATTATTACAAAAGGGATTTGGGGAGGTCCATTCTACAGATTCTTAGCATTTCATTTAAAAAAATCCACTTGGCCAGGATGACATTTATTGGAACTTGGGAGTCGATCAGATGTCAACCAAAGCGGCTTCCAACGGTTTTGGCACCAGCAAACTCTGCCTGTTGAGGCTACACTCACACGCCAGCAATACGCTTAATTCAAACCGGGTTTTTTTTAGTTTTAAAAAAATCTATTTCCTTCAAATCCAAGTTGTTAGCAAGAATACATTTGGTACTGTTGTGGCGTCCAGTTCTGGAATCTGGGTTTTGTTTAACCTGCTGCGAAAATAATTGTTTTCACACTCCTTGTGGCTCCAGTTTTACAGTCACAATGTAGTTTCCTCTAGTTCTGTCCAGTTAAAACTTACAGCAAACACAACACAACTGTGCAACTGTGACCAAAGATAAACTTCTGGGCCCCAGAATAAACTTGCCTTAAACAGATGTGGATAGAGCAGTTTTCTTTATATTAATGTGGATTTTGATTATACACAGTTCTATACCGAGGTGGGAAAGCTGGGTTGATCATTTAAACACCTTAAACAGTAACAACATAGCTGTGGGGAATAAAGACACAGCACCTCTCTCCCCAAGAATGTGACACACACACACACACACACAGATTGGCAGACCCACTGTGGAATAAAACGAAATAAATAACATTTAAGGAATGATTTGCATCTGCTCTCAGTGGATTCCTTTGTGAACTCTCTGCAATGGTGAAAATTGCTGAGAAAACACAACGAACCGAAGAGTTTCGTTTTTCTGCACAGTTTATTTTCAAAGGAAATCTGATCTTACCTTCTCAGAAGCTCCAAAGCCCCTGCAGTCTGTTTGATCAATGAGGTGAGCAGTGAACTCGAAGTTGTCTGATAGCCCCGAAACTGCAACTGGTGTCACATTATTTCCAGACAATGACAAGCGTTAGTGGTTAAGTTCAGTGCGAAGGCTTTCGCAGTCGCACAGCCTTTCTGTTCATTTTGCATTTCCCTTTTTCCACTCGAACTTTTTTGCAGTGGTTGTTTATGCAAATCGCAACCACTTGCAAAAGTCGAGTCTTAACCAGTCACCTTTTTCTTTTCACACGTACCCAAAGCTAATGTAACGTGATAAAATGAATGAGTGAGTGGGGTGGGGAGTGAGTGGGGGGGGAGTGAGTGGGGGGGGGGGGGGGTGGGGGTTGCAGGAGATGTCAGTAAGTCACACTGCACATAGTCTCAGACCTGGGAGGTTGCTACTCGTGTATTAAGTTAACCATCACGACAGCAATATGTTTCAAGTGATATGCATATATTTTTTCTGGGTGGGGGGGGGGGGGGGGGGATCACATACATACAGCAATCCAATATTGCAACATATGACACTAGCCACGTGAAATCAACTGTGAAAAGTATTTGCCAAGAGCTCATTCTGCTACCGTTATTTTTATATATATATATATATACTTATAAATATTCTCTCTATCTCTATTTTTTTTTAAAAAAAGGATGTTTCATTACTTACCAACAAGTGCTGAAGCTGCCAGGGACACAGTGCAAAGTGAGACGCCTTTCTCCTGTCAATGCTGCTTCACTGCTAACAGAAAAGATCCCATCCCAACTCTGTTTTGCCACTGTTTTTCTTTTGCTTTCAAAGGGTATGTCTGAGAGGCTGAGTACAGGGTGATGGGGTTAGGGGGGGGTTGAGCTATGTGATGGGGAAGGGGGTGCACTCATTCAGTGACATGCCATCCAGATAGCAGCAATAGGGAGTTTCATTTTAAGTTGAGTTGGTAAATAAAATGGTTTGGTGGGGGCGGACCCAAACTATTTCTACTCCTGCATGTTCTCGTTTAACAGAGTGTGGGGTGATTAATGTATGAGTAATGCAGAGAATCTAAGTTTTTTTTTATATATACAACTCCCCACCCCCACCACCCCAACCCCACTCACACACACACACACACTCACTTCCATCTGCAATCTAAAATTAGAACTGGTTAAATTCAAGTTCTCCTGCCTGAGGAAGACAACAGCTCAGAAAGGAAACGCGGCCAGACGAAACAACATCTACTCGAAGCAAAGGGAGGGGTTGAAGTAAAAGCAGCACCCCCTTTCTCTCTTTCTGTCTCACTCATGCTCTACTTCAACCTCCCTCAAATGTGAGCCCCGCAACTTATTCTTGTGTGGCAATGTCCATACGGTTAAACCTTGTGTCCAAGGAGACAGCCACAACAACTTGCATTTATATAGCCGACCCTCATGTAGGGTAGAGTCGTGGAGCGCTTGACGGTGGCAGAGGCCCACGCTGAGCCGGGGGGGTGGCGGTGGTGGGAGGAGGATGGCGGTGACCCTAAGCACAGTCCCAGAGGAAGGTCTTCAGTTGTGGTCTGAAAGAGGGCCAGAAGGGGCAAGGCGAAGTGATTGGGGAAGAGAATTCCAAAGCTCCCATAAGGAGGATAACCATCCCAACCTTTTGTCACGTTAGGTAACAAATTTAACTTTTTGAATGTAAGAAATACTGCATTTGAGCCTTATGTGTAATAATCCAGTGAGTGCTAATGTGAGGAGTCACACATCACTGATATTTTGTGAGTGAAGGGAAGTTCTGTGTGCACACGAGATAAGCGCCAAATAACTGTTTCACAGCAGTAATATCCCTGAAGTTAAACAGCTGGTATATCAGATAGGATCATCGCTGTAACTCCTGGAGCTCTGCCTATTGCTTGTTTATCATAAATCATTGGAAAAAAATCCACTGAATTTTGAAGTTTAAAGTCTGTTGAATGGTAAATTCAAATCGAACATGAATTAGCCTTTAGCATGGTGCTTGTTTTCTGACCTCAGTTAGAAGCCTTCTGTGATGTTATGTGATGATTTTGCCTCATCATGGTCCAGATCTCAAACATAATCTTAGTATATTTAGTAACTTTGAAACACAACAGGATTTTAATGATGACATTTTACATTTACTTTCATATTCTTCCAGAATATTGTTTTTGAAAGATACCGAACAGTGGAAAACCATACCATATAAGGTGATTGACTGTACTTCAATGTCTTTGGGATTGTTATCCTGCAGTCCGCCGAGATCCTGATTCACACTTTCATCACGTCCCGGCTTGACTACACCAACAACCTGCTCGCTGCAGATTATTCAGAACTCTGCAGCTCGTGTCCTCTCCCACATCAGGCTCCACAAACCAATCACCCACTGTTCTTGCCCGGCTTCACTGACTTCCCATCCCTCAGAAAATTGAGCACAAAACCCTCGTTCTCACCTTCAAGACCCTCCATAGTCTTGCTCCCCCCTACCTCTCCGACCTCCTAACCCCATATCAGCCTGTCTGCTCCTTCCGCTCAGTAGAAATCAGCCTGGTTCAGGTCTCCCACACATCCTGCCCCACCATTGCAGTCAGGCATTCTGGAACTCTATCGTGCAATCCCTCCGCCTCACCCCCTCTCTTGCCTCCTTCAAGAGCCATCTAAAGACTGTCCTCTTCAACCATGCCGTCAGCCATCATCCCAACCGCCACTGCTATGCACCCCTCCAAAAAACCCTCACTGTCCAGTGCCCTGGGACATCTTTCCGACGTGAAGGGCACTATACAAATGTAATGTTTTATTGTTTAATACATACAATTGCACTTGGTTAGTATCTTGCAAACAGGTGTACTGACATATACATGGTGTACGTGTAGCTGTTCTATTCAATGTAAAGGGGGTGGGGCAGTCTGTCTAGCTCTAGCAAAGAACTCATTAAGGAACTTCCAGCAGTAGTAGTTTCTTTTTCAGTCATCTAATAACACTACATTAAAGAATTGAACTATTTTACGTGAATAATAATAATAATTCATGCATTGATATAATGCCTTTCATGTTGGGAGGATGTCTCAAAGCGCTTCATTGTAACATGTAGTGACTGTGTATCTTTGTAAGTGAATACTGGAGCCAATTTTCACATTGCAATGCCCCAAAACAACTATTCAAGTAAATTTTATCTGGGGGATTATTGGGTAGGACACTGGGAGAAACCTCCCTTCTCGTTTTGAAAAGTGCCACAAGATTTTTTATCTATACAAAGTAGTTCAATAGTTTTACATCAGCTTTTCCTGTTCTGAGACTTTCCTACGATTTCTTCTTTTTTGTGTGTGAGTGTCAGTGTCAGTGCTATTTTGGGACATGGGGAAATTGCAGTGGATTCCAGAATCCCTTTTGAGTGTTACTCAAAACACATGGGCTTTCATTTTCACCAGTATGATGTGACAGTAGAAGCTACACTGACAGATGTTTCATTTCATAATTTGACTTCCGGTCTTCAGCAATAGAAGAAAGAATTTGCAATAAAAGCAAAAGGGGTATCCAGCCATGGATCTATGGTAAATTTGTGATGCACCATTTTTTATTTATTTATTATGAGTTGGCCTGCGGCATTCTTGCACACTGGAAATATTAAGAATTTCCATAGTTAAGACTCTACTTAATAATTAAACTTTCACAGATTCCACGCAGTCAAGACCTGAGCTATTGTAGCTGGGAAAATTGATCCAGTTAAACAATCTTGATGTGATTGAATCAAATCCAGACAGAACAGTGGGTGGGCTTGTTTTAATTACATGGCAGTTTTGTTAAAGCTTCAGTTCCCCTAATTTACAATCATTTTCCTCTCTGAAATATATGTAACATATCTTGTCATAAAACATTAATTGTAATGGAGATTTATAGTGTGCATTTCGTAATGTACCCCTCCTTTTGTTGATTGCTCAGAATATAAAGCTAAATAATAAATGAGTGTATCCCATTAGCACTGATTAGTAATGTTGTGAGCAGCTTCACCTTATCAAGACCACTGTGTATTTGTAGACAAATATAGTAGCGAATTTGTGCACAGCAATGTTCTATAAACAACCAAGTGAGGATTGACTTAATTTCGACATTTTGTTGCCAAGCCAGTTCTAAAATAAGACTTAATTCAAGAACTTTCCACAATTCTTTGCATTTACATTTCACGACAATGGTTGTGCAGACTAAACCAAGGTGACACTTCGGTGGTGGGGGGGGAAGAGAGCTACAACTGTTACAAAGATCATTAGTTTCAGCTGTCATAGAAGGCATCCGCCTGGCAGCCTGATCCTCCTTCCCCGTGTCCCCTATCAGCCCCCCATTCCGTCTTCTTCACGCTAACCCTTACCCTAACCCTCCCCCACCCACCCCCCTCAGCTCCTACCAAGGCCCCCATCCCACATTCCTTTGCCCCCATCTCTCCTTCCTCCCTCTCATCCTCCATCACCCTGATAAAACCCACCACCTGCTGCCTCGACCCCCTCCCCACCCAGCTGCTGATCACCTAGATCCCCTTCCTCTGCCCTCTGCTGGCAGACACCATTAATCAATCCCTCTCCTCAGGATCTGTCCCACTCCTCCTCAAAACCGGTGTCATCACTCCCTCCTAAAAAAAAACTATCCTTGATTGCTCCAATCTGGGCCACTACCTCTCTGGCCACAGCTTTGGAACACGTTGTTGTCATCCAACTTTGTGCACACCTCTCCCTCCACTCCCTACTCAAACCTCTCCAGTCCGGTTTCTGCCCTTCCCCACAGTACAGCAACAGTGCTTAACAATGTTGGAGCCCGATGCTGAGCCAGGGGGAGGGGGAAGGTGACCTTAGGCATGGTCGAAGAGGAAAGGTCTCATGAAATCACAAACAATGTTCTCTCTATCTGTGACGAGGGCTCCCTCTGCCTCCTCGTCCTCCTGGACCTCTCCACTGTGTTCGACAGTCGATCACTCCATCCTCCTCCACTGCCTCTCCTCCATCATCCACCTCAGTGGGATTGCAATCGCTTGGTTCAAGATCTACCTTAAAAACCTCCAACACTACATTTCCGCAAATGGTTTTTCTTCTCGTCCCCACTCGGTCTCCTTCAGGGTATCCAAAGCTCCTTTCTTGGCGCTCTTCACTTCCTCATCTATATGCTCCCTCTCGGTGATGCCATCTGCAGACACGGGGTTAACTTCAACATGTATGCGGATGACACTCAACTCTACTGGATGAGCACAAATTTCTTGCAGTCAAACGTCAACAAGACGGAAACCATACTCTTTGGTTCCCGTCAATGTCTTCTGTCCTGCAGTTCTGACCTCCTCAATCTACTCGATCTGTCCTGAAAACTCTCTGAACCCGTGCGCAACTTAGGCGTCGGGTTCGATCTCCAGTTATCCATCCTCCTCCACATCCAGTCCCTGATCAGGACCGCTTTCCTCCACCTCTGCTGCATTGTCTGTCTCCGACAATACTTCACTTTATAAGCTGCCAAAACCTTTGTCCATGCCTTCATCACCTCACCTCTCAGCCAGACTATTCAAACTCCCTTCTCGCCGGGCTCCCCTCCTCTACTATTCACAAAATTCAACTCATCCAAAACTCTGCCGCCCGCATTCTCACCCGCACAAAACTCCACACCCCAATTATCCCAGTCGTTGCCAAACTTCCCTGGCTCCCTGTCACAGGGTGGATCGACTTCAAGACCTCACTTTAGTATTTAAATCCCTCCATTCCTTGACACCCCCCTATCTCTCCAACTTCCTCTCTCCCCACAACAGTACCCGCTGCCTTCACCCTATTGGTTCTGGCCTTCTCCTTGTCCCTCGAATCCTCTGTTCCACCATCGGGGGCCGTGCCTTTAGCCACTATGCCCCAAAGCTATGGAACTCCTTCCCTCAATCCCTTTGCCTCGCCCCCTCTTTCCCCATTTTCAGGTTGCGCCTGAAGACCTTCCTCTTTGACCATGCCTGCGGTCACCTTCCCCCTCTCCTGGCTTGGCATCGGGCTCCATCATTGTTAAGTGCTCTGAGATACCGACCGGTGTGGACGGCGCTGTATAAATGCAAGTTGTTGTTGTCATATTGCTGTTGACAAACATAAAACACATCTTATTTATACAGAAAGGAAATCTTATTTGTTCTAGAAAGTTTTGTTCCGGTACTTCCTTGGCCAAAGTCAGTAATGTCAGTAGAGCTTTCGATGGTTTGAGGAGCTTCAGAGCCAAAACGGATGCAAGTTAAATTCAAATGATTGTTCCACTGACATTTCTGACTCCCTGGTTCACTTCTGCTGTCATTGAGTAATAAAACGGAATGTTTTCTTTACGATTTGTGGAGTTTGCTTTGACTTTTAAATAAGTGGTAAAATCACATTCAAAGATTTAGTATGAGTGTTCAATCCAGTCAAGATTTTAAGTTGATTTTGTTGCTACTTGGTGCATTGCCCAGGCACTGATCTTTCTAATAATCCTCATATTTGAATAAGTGTTTTTGTGTTTAGCCATTTTGTCAAAATACTTCACATTATTTACTGAAAATTGTAGTAACTGTGTATTTGTAGGCAAATATTGTAGCCAATTTGTGCACATCAATGTCCTGCAAACAGCCAAGACGCGAATGATCATATTTTATCTCGTGGATTATTGGCCAGGACAACAGGAGTAACTCCATTTTTGAATAGTGCCATGGGATCTTTAAGGTCCACCTGAGCAGATATACAGAGACTTCCAGAGCTGTCTAAAGGATAGCACTTCGGACAATGCAGCAATTCCTCAGCACTGCAGCTAATCTTCATCATAAAATTCTTTGGATCATATCACTTTGTAATAATGGAATATATTCATTGTGTATTTAAAGCAAGTTATGGTAAAAGAAGTATGGCGAGCGAAATCCTGACTTCAGTAATATTGGTTAGTTACTTTAGTATCATTTAATGTCTTGTTACTTTTTTCAAAAATAGGTTTTGCTTTATTTTAGATTGTATAAAGCAACTAGGTCTTAACGGCTATCTATAAAAGCATATCATATTTAGATCTTAGATTCAGCGATCCCGTCTGCCTGTTTAGGGGGACATTAAAATCGCATGGCACTATTTGAAAAGACAAGAATTTCTCTCAGTGTCCTGGCCAACAATCTCACAGATAAAATTGGATATTCACTTCATAGCTGTTTTTGGGCACAAACAAATGGCTGCTGTATTTGCCCATTAACGCACAGTTATTCGTGTGAGGTGCTTTGAGACATTTTGATTATACGTACTTGATAAACAGCTCACGCTATGGAAGAAGTAAAGCCATGTGAATATGTAATGAAATAAATAGGCCACCAGAAGGCAGACGTGAGCTTTAGTAGGAAAGAAAATGAAAGAGTGGAAATCAAGCTGTTAACTCTTCAGGGGGAGATTGGACAGTAGCGCCCAAACCACTGTACATAGTGCACAGATTACATTCACGGTGGTAAGAAAAGTAGGTGAGCGATGTGTTTGTTATTGTACTGTGGTTTGTACTGCCCCTGGTGATTTCCCAGACAGTTCTTTGCAACTTCTTCAATGGATTTACCCAAAAGCAAATCCAACTGCTTTTATTGAGCTGGTGGTACTTTTGATCCTAGTGTCGGGAGATCCAAATATAATTAGTGCAAGTTCAGGGAATATTAGTTTACGTGAATATTGTATGGCCATTTCTGGTTCCATGTGTTCTGTTATATAAAGTATTAAAACACTTCACTGAGTGTAAGTCAGTCCACATTCGAAAAGGAAAGATGTGGAAAGATTTAGGTATATTCCTTCATTTGTGTAAAATGTTGCCTTTGAAATGTTACTCTAACTTTCTCTTTCAGATTCTGATCAATGTACAGTGTAGTGTCCAGCAAACATTTCTTTTTACTTCAACCAAACTAAAGATTTGATGTTGCACTGGGATAACATTGACAAATAATGAAACAGTTTTCGTATGTGAGTGGACAATGAGCATTTATTGTTGAAGGCAGAACATGCTAGCTTTATAGTACAATTATATAGAAAAGGGGGCATAGATTCAAAGTTGCAAAAGGTTGTATAACGCAATTTCAGAAGGGACGCAAGGAAGTATTTCATTTACACTGATATCAGACAAACGACTGGAATGTGTTACCAGGAGGATGGTTGAGGCCAGGATACTGGGCATAGTAAAGAAATTGTTTGATGCAGTCATGCACAGGCGTTAGAATGGAACATTTTCCATTATCAAGTGCTACCGTTGCTCAGGTTGAGTTGAAATACACCAAATTGGGAGAGAAAATGGATTCATGGTTCTTAAAAATGCCTTGAAGCTCTACTTTTACTTTTTGACTGACAAGATCTGAGGGCATTTCTATTCATTGTTTCTGGTAGCTTGGAAGGAGGTCTGTGCTCTTGTAAGATGTATGTGGTTTTGAAAGGTGAAGCGGTGGAAAGGGCAAATCAGGGCTGTTGATCGGAAAAGTTTAATAATCCAACCGATGGCTTGTGGTGCTTTCGCTGCTTAAGTGGCGACTTCGAGAGAGATAACTTCCTGTTCTTGACAGTTGCTCTCTGAACTCAGCTGTGACAAAATAATATATGATTGGGTCCAGGCAGCAGTTCATGCTGGCTAGACACAGGGTAACTGAATGCATGATGATAATTGTCTTCCGAAGAGAGCAGTCTGTAATGTTTGATTTCAGCAGATTCAAACCGAAGAATAGGTGATATGGAGCAAAGCAAATGAGGAAAACTGTTGCACACATCAGTACCATCTTTAAAGCCTTTTTCCCAATTTGGTCATGAGGAACATTTTGCTTACTCTTTAAGGACTGAACAGTTTTCCAGGTACATGTCAGAATAATGATGAGCGGTAGGATAAAACCCATCAGCTCTGAGATGATTAGCATAGCTATGGAAGTTTCAAATTTAATTTTCCTTGTAGGAAGGTCTGCAAAACATTGTGAGCTGTTGAATGGTGAAATATTTCTCATGATTGGGAATGTCAGGCAGATTAGCATAACTGTCATCCATCCAACAGCACTCAATGCCACATCGTATCTGCGCTTCCAGCTTCTGTATTTGAAAGGGTAGAGGAGAAATACACAGCGTTGGATACTGATACACACTAAGAAGTAGATACTTGCGTACATGTTGAGGTATTTTAGGTAGAAACAAAATAAGCACATAAAATGTCCAAATGGCCAATTGTGACTCAGATAGTAAAAAATCCTCAGCGGCAAAGACAGAGCATGTGCCAGATCAGCAACTACCAGATTTAACATGAATATCACCGCTTTCTTTTCTCTTTTGATGTTTTTGAATAAAATGACAAAGGCTACCATATTGCCAAATATTCCGGGCAAGGTTATTATCCCATAGATGACGGCGTACAGAGTGAATTGATTTTCCCAAGTAGAATTTAGACAGATTGCAATGGATGTATTGTTCATCATTGTTTCCCCGCTTCAGGTCGCTTTTGTTAGAAGTATCTCAAGTTGCAAGACACTCAGGAACTTGTGAGCTGTGAAAGAAAAGAGTTTTAAACAATCAGCAAGGGAGTATGTGAGAAAATAAAACCACAGTAAAACTCGCATAAGTCTTATCTTTAGAAATCATATGATCGCCTAAGTCATCCATCCATCCGAGTCGCATTCAGTTTCCTATCAAAACCATTCAAATTTCTGAGTCGTATTTATCACCTCTTAACTCATCACGCTGCTCCCCTATCCTCCATTATTCCTGCACTTACCGGCTGCATTGAAACGTGGGAAACAATAGTCTTGATCTGTCGACGCAAGTGCAGAAGAACTTCATTTTCCGCGATTCAATGCGATTCCAATGCTTGACAGTAAGTGTGCATGCAGTGACGGGGAAAGGCACATTGAATTGCAGGAAATGTCGTTTTGACCCATCACTACATGTGCATGCCCGTCTGCAGTGACAAGGTGCCGCATTCGCACCAACCGGCTGCATTGAATTACGGGTATGCAGTGCAGATTGTTGATTAAATCAGATTTTATTCGACTTCTACAGTTTGCCTGCCACTTGGACTTTGCGTAAGTCACGTTAAATGTTATGGTTCCAACTGATACGATTTATGCGAAAAAATAGAGAGCTATGATTCTTTCTGAGAATGCAGTGCTCTGAGGGACAAAGAGGTTAAAAGCATGGTGGAAGGTGGCTTTTTATTGCATCCAATCCTGATGGTTGGACCAAAAGCACAGATAATTCAGGCTGGTTGAAAGAGGTGGTAATCATTCAAGAACTGTAGGAAACTAGTAGATGAAGCTTTGTTGTCAATATTCTGCTGAGCATGCTGTATAAACATAACCTTTCATTTGGTAGGACGTGTGCTGGCTGCTTTATCTTTACCTTCAGGTAACACTGATTTAAAGGACATTGTCCAAAGTATTTTATTATTGACTTGAGGAAACTCAAATTGTGACCATAGCGGTTAATAATAATAATAATAATAATAATAGTTAAGACTGAAGATAGAAAGGAACCAACTCAAAGCTAACACGTATTTTTAAGAAAGGAATCAGAACATAGTTGAGGTTTAGGCTAAGTTGAGGAAGGGCAGCAGGAGGCTCATGTGGAGCATAAACACCGACACAGACCAGTTGAGCCGAATGACCTATTTCTGTGCTGTATATTCTCTGTGTTCTATGTAGAAAATGCATCTTTGTCTTTTATACAGTAAAACTTGCATAAGTATTATCTTTATAAATCGTATTATTGCCTAAGCTGTACATCCACTCGTATTAATCACCTCCTAACTTGTAATCCTGCTCCCCTACTCTCCATTTACTCCAGCACTTACCAGCTGTAGTAATGAACTACTGCATGCTCATCAACCAGCTGCATTGAATTACCATGCACAATGTAGATTATTGATTAAAACAGATTTTATACGATTAATAGAAGTTTGCCAGCAACTGGTCTTCGTGCACGTCATACTTAATTTTGTGGTCTACACTGTTACGGCTTATGTGAGTTTTACTGTATATATAAATGGTTAACAACAGCCAATCAATTTTCATCCATCCTAGTCTGATTTGACTAAGTTTAATGTTAATAATGTGATGCCTTGAATTAGAACACGAGGCAGTTGAATGCCACCAGTGAATCCCTAAATCTTCTACTTTTCTTCACTTCTGCTCTGTATTTGGTAACTAAGAGCATTGCCCCTTTTTTCTTCTTTTCCTCAACATACAATAAGGAAGTGTCTGGTCTTTCCCACGAATGAGATCAAAACTCACCAGTATGAAACCATTCCCACTACTTTGGAACACTGGTTATCACATATATGGTACACATCATTAAACTTTAAGAAGGCTAAGAGGCATTTACTGAATATTTCCATTGAGTTCAGGAGAAAAAATTGACCAGAACTGTACTCCTTCGGAACTAAAGTAGTAATAATAATAAAAAATAATATTAATAATTCAAGTAAAGATGTTAAATTCTGCATATTTTGCATAATACATGTGATCTTGCCACCATTATGGGGCTAAATCTTGGCACAGTTACCACTCAGTCTACCATCCTCGACCCATGTGTACTATTTTTATTGATTGTAACTTGTATTTGCACAAAATAGACCACTTCAAATTAAGGTTCCCTTTTCTAACTTTTCAAAATGTTTTTTGTTTCGAGAAATACATGAGGGCATATTGCTGGACCATCCTTTGTAGCTGAGCTTCAACACCTAAATTCAATGTTCACGGTATGTTCACCCCCAAAATGTTGTGACTTGAACTTTAGCTCGAGGTTTAACAGCTCTGGAGAAAGCGCATTTCAAGATCCTGGCAACTCTTTTGATGTTAATCAGACCATCAGTTGCATTGGGTGTAGGTTGTGTTTCAGTTTCACGTTTTGTAAAGATCCGGCCTGGTACTACTTTGTGTTTAGCCTGCTGTGGTTTACTATTGCATGATTTCCCTGTAAACAGTTTTCCCCTAAGTAAGCACTGACGCAGAATGTTTTTTTGCCTTTGTGTTAGAGCAATGATGGCCAACCCATCAAGAAGCGGGCCACCAAGTATTTGCACTAGTCTTGGTGAGTCTGTTTTAAATTATTGTTTTTTTCCAGTAACTACTTAGTGGCAATGTTTAAGGTGTGACCACAAGTCAAAGAAATGTTCAATCAAGAACATTTATTTGGTTGGTTGACTGAAAATGTTGGCCCCTCTGTGTGGCATATTTTGACCATTTTGTTTTTGCTAAGAACTGGGATGGTAATATTTACTATCCCAGTGCCTTGGGATGTCCTCCCGACTTGAAAGGTGCTATACAAATGTAATTTTGTATGGTATTTCTTCGCTTGTAGGAACTCACTGCAAGAAGTTCATTTATATCCAGAGCTGCAGTTGTCTAAAAATTGACCAAACCTCTGCATTTGGTTTGAGTAAAAATTCACTAAAAATTCAACTATGTACTTTGGTCCAGTTCTACGTTTCCTAACAAAGTTTGATAATAGTTTGCAGTGGTTAACAGTTTGGAATCACTCTAGATTTGAGGTGAAACTTGAGGTGCTCTCTGCATTATAAGACAAAGGATAGTGGGAAAAGTGTGAGTGTAACATCTTAATCAAAGCATGTTTGTGCAACAGCCATTTGCCGAATAAACACAATTCCTTTCACTGCTGATTTTTCTTTACAGCGTTTGCAGAACATTTATGTTTTCTACAACTGGTTGTGTGAATGTTGAGTGAAATCAGAATAAAATTGGTAACCATGGGAGCGTTTCACCAAGGAAGGAAACTTCACAGGCTACCATTGTATGTTACAGCTCTCTCAGAGTGATAACGTTGATCTGGCCAGATGGGGATGTGAGAAGTCACACCAGTAACTACACAAGCTGTTCTTCCCCAAATCAAGTAACAACTCTCTTTGTTATAGCACCCACAACAAGTGCTTCTGTTTGCTAATGTTGCTACTCAAATATCGAACAACAACAACAACAACAAGATTCCATTTATTGAGCGTCTTTCACGTCGGGAGGATGTCCCAAGGCCCTGTACAGTTGGGTCAGGACCCGAGCAAGGGGGAAATGGTCAGGGTGAGGGGAGGGAGTGAGGAGGGGGTAGAGAGTCGAGAGGGGAGCTGAAGGAACAAGTAGCTTAGCCAAACACTTTGCTGTAGTGCATTCATTTTATCTCAATTTCTACCACTTCCTCTCATTGCGTGAGGAACCAATTAGGTTGTTTTCATGAAAGTGTCTGCAAAAAATGAATGTTGAGCAACATAAACTTAAAAATTACTGAAATGTTGGGCAGAGAGTTCAGTGAGTAAATACAATACAACACAAAATTACATTTGTATAGCGCCTTTCATGTTGGGAGGATGTCTCAAGGGATTTGGACCCGAGCAGGGGGCGTGGAGGGCAGAGAGGTAGGAGGGTGGCCTAAGGCTCGGTCGAAGTGCGCTGTATAGTCTGGTAGTGATGAGCCTTGTGGAACAGGGAAGACTCTGAAGTCAATCTCTGTTCCTTGTTGACTTTACTGACCCACAGCTAAGTATATATTCAGGTTTCGTGCAACTGCTCAATAGCAGTAGGGTCCAATTTGTCTAGGTGACGAGGACCAGGGAAGGGAAGATTGACATTGGGTTGCCTCTGTTGAAGGCTTTGTGAATTATTATTATTACTAAGTAGACTTGTTTAGACATGGGGCAGAGACAAGATTGAGCTCATCAGTGATGCCTCACCTGCTGCCACATGAAATGATGTGCAGCCAAGTGAAGAGACAATCTGTTTGGGTTGTAATTCTGTCTGCCTCCCGAATTAGTTCAGAATTAGTTAAATTAGGTTCACATTTGTAATTTGCATTAGTTTAACCACTATTCATTACTGCAGCATTTCAAACTCCACAGCGTCAGTCTCTGGAAACAGGAAGTTTCGAATATATTTTACTGGTGAACGAATGCAAATAGATGTGAAGTTGCCACAAAACGCGAGCAAGCTTGGCGTAATTAGCACTCTCGTCTCAGAGTCAGAAAGTGTGAGTTCAAGCCTCTTATCGTCACTTTCAGCTCGTAAGCTAGACTGTCGCTGGGAGGGGTATTGCATTATCGGGTGGACGATGAGGGATTAAACTGAGGTCCCGTCTATAGCCAACTATTCCCCAGATTAAAATTCCAAACACTATGAATCACCATGAGATGTGTCGATGTAATATCAAATACAAAGATTATTATTATTACCATCATGGCTTTCATTGTAGGTATTCTGCAGGTTAGGTTAGGTCGCTTATTCGTCAATTTTGGAACAATCTTTTCTAGAAACCTGAATAATAATAATAATCCTTGCATTTGATATAGCGCCTTATCACATCTTCCAGACTTCTCGAAGCGCTTCACAGAATAAACTGTGAAGTGAATTGACTATATATTTGTGGGTGAAACATGGTAGCTAATTACACTCAGCAGCATGCCACAAACAGTTGTGAGTTGATTGATCATTTTTTTGGGGGAGGGATTATTATCCCCGGAAAAGCCAATCGACTAACAACCGGATTCCTACTTACTGCTAGGTAAACAGAGGCGCGTGGAGTAAGGACATTTGCCCAACATTTCTCCCTGCAGAAAATTGAATCCAGGGCCTCTCGCTTGCAAGGTGATTGCTCTAACCATTAATCTACAGGAATGAATGCAATTACCGTAACATGTTGCGTGCTTTCCTCCAACTCTTTTGCAAATTTGAACATCTAACCCATGTTTCTGAGGACGAATGGGAAAATGTAAGAACCATTTAACCTTAGACAAAGAATGTTCAAGCTACATTTCAGATTCAACCATACATGCACAAAGTGATGCGAGTTATAGACTGATACAGAAATTATTTATGAATTACAGTAGTTGCAAGAGGAGAGTGAGTTTGGAGCTGGTTTCAATGGATACACCCACAATAAATACCCAAACTTTTAATCTGAAAACTGCAGAAAGAGATCGGGATTATGAATAAACCATTATTTTTGTTGCTTAAGAATTTAGATTTCAGCAAAATATAAATGGTACCAGGCTGATGATATTCTGGAGGAACTGAATCTTTTGGGTGGGATACAGATTGGATTTAATTATAATTGATTTCTGCAAAACTGCGGTCTTGCCACTTGGCCGAGGCAGGTAAAAATGCTTTTCCCTCTCGTAGAGCTGCGAAGAACAGGAAATTCTCATAGAATTTGTCATTTCAATGTTACTAAATATGGTAGATTTTGCTGATGAATTCTTAGACAATGAGGTGGCCCATTGCTGTTGATGTCAAACACCAGTGCAAAACTTCATTCAAATACAAATAAGATTTTGGGATTCAGTATTTGAGTAATTTGAGACATGATGTATAGTAAGTGTAGAATGCATGGAAGAACCAGGCAATTTTGGATCTAAGGTTCCCAAAGGTCTGTTGAAGACTAATCCATACAGAATTAATTGCTATCAACATCTCCATTATTGTAGCATGCAACTCCCAGGATAGTAGAGAATGAATTAGATGGACCTTGGTCTTTTATTGCCTAGCAATTCCTATGTTTCTAAAACCAGTATTTAATTCTGCATGGGTCAGATCAGACAGCATTATCTCCTCTGATCACTTCCGTTCTAGAATTCTGATCCAAATGTGAAACGATTTGTTTCCCGCCACCATCAATACTGGGTCCTCACTGTAGGCAGACCTCCGTGACAATAGGCTGTCAACTCACATTATTGATTAGAACGACAATAGTTAACAAACAATATATATATAGTATTTCAAAAATGCTCAAGTACAAAATATTGTACTATTTTTCTTTTATATCTTCTAGTGAATATCAAGCAGTTCAGCTTGAATTCTGTACACATGTACCCAATATTCATAATATTAATAATAAATCCTTGCATTTGATATAGTGCCTTATCATGCCATGGAGACATGACAAAGTGCTCCACAGGATATATTGCAAAGTGATTTGTTTTGTTGTGGGCAAAGTGTAGCATCCAGTCGCACGCAGCAGTTGCACGGTTATGGAGTGCGACATCAATTTTATTCAGGAGATTGGTGGCCAGGACATCATGAGAAAGCATCTTGGCTAACCTCATAAGGCTTTGATGGTGCACTCGAGCAACTATTGAGCAGTCTCGCATGATGTAACGAAATTTTCACCAACTAACTTTCTGTTGTTTGTCAGTGGTTATGGCTTACACCATGAATTAACTTTTTCCGTAATGTGGACCTGAAGTAACTGCTTAATAACCATCTGTATCAATGTCAGGTCCTCTGGCTGTCTGTCTATCTGGAGGAGTAATCAAATTCACTGGCTTCATCTCCAGTCCACTTTTTTGGGGGCATAAGCGATTTTTCAGATGTGTAGCTCGTGCCTGCTGTACTTCAGTAGAGATAAAACTTTATGGTTTGCAGCATGTTCCTGGATGTTGTAACATTTTACTAGTGTCCTTAACTAAATGTGTCAGCATTTTAAGAATGGGAAAGTTTCGGAAGGAAACATTTTTTACAGCACCTTTCACTTTGAAATGTCTCAAAGCCCAGTATAGCAGTGCAGTATGATGGTTTTCATGAGCAATAAAACCAGCTCACAGCAAAGGCCCACAACACCCATGAAGTCGGTGTCCAGAAAGCAAATTGGAGGATTGTTAGCCAGGACATTGAGGGAAAGTCCCTTCTCCTTTTTAAGTAGTATCTTAAATGCTCTTCTGAACAAACAGGATCTCGGTTTAACATGATAAATGAAAGACTGTTCTTCCCCCAGTGCTGCACTCTAGGATCAGCCTTGACTGCATCACAAATAATCCCTCCAAAACAAAACAAAAAAAATTGGTCATTTTCAATCTACAACTGTTTGTTGGACACTGCTCTGCGCAATTGGCTGCCATGTTTCACCCACAAATATAAGGTCAATTCACTTTACAGTCTATTCTGTGAAACACTTTGAGACATCGAGAAAACGTGAAAAGCGCTATATCAAATGAAAGGATTATTATTTTTATAAGATCACATGATTAGTTCAGATCACACAATGGCCATTCTCAACCCTCCACAATACTCAGGCTACCTTCACAGCATTAACCTATATTTCAAATGAATCCAGTGTCCTTACCTAAACCAATCTTCCTGGCAACCTTTAGCAGTCATTAATTACCCTTTGAATAAAGAAAATCTTCCTACATTTGTCTTGATATTACCCTTTGCAACTCTAAATCTTTGTCCTCTTGTTCTACTGGCCTGGTGGATCCTAAACTACTGTTCTGGGTTTATGACACTATAGCAAATGCAAGAATTATATGTTATTATTACTTTTTCAATTCTATTTAAAATATTATTGAGGTCCCCTTTTTCTATAAGGCCTCCTCTGAATTGTTCTCATGACAGAATAGCCCTTGTTTGTCTAATTATTGCCGAGAGCTCATTGCTCTAACAAAGGGGATTGTCCTCATTGCTCACCTCTGCCGCCCCCTTCAGACTCAGTGTGTGCAGGACTCAAGGTGCAACCTGACCAGATCACTATGCAGCTTGAGGTTGATTTTTGGGGAACCAAACTCCACTGATTTTGCAATAAGCTCAGGAACTTGTTTCCCTTGTTTATTGCTGCCTCTTGCTGTTTTGACATAATGAGCGACAAGTCACTCTAACATCTCTAGTTCTCTTCTGCTTCAGTTTTCACATTGTGTTCCATCCAAGGAGCACTTGTATTTCCTAGGAACTGAAGCCCCAATAGGAGTCTTGAACATCCATAACAGAGAAGCGAGCATACTACCAACTGAGCCAAACTGATTCCCCCCAACTTGAACAGAGAAAAATTGCTTAGATAAAATTCTGCTTGTCATGAGACTTTGATATCTTTATACAATTTTGGAAGGCCTGTGCAATTCATGAGGGATGGCTTCTTGTTCTTAAGAAAGTTATTTGGTTTGACCTGTGCAATTCATAATGCAATGTAATACAGTGGGTAAAGGTGATATGATGCAGGACTGCCTGTATTAACCAATATTAATCCAGTTACCGTACTGTCAGAGTATATGGTCAGGGTTCATTTAAACCACCTCCATGGGGTTGTGTTTATTTTAAGATGTTAGAACCAGAACATTCTGTTTTGTGTTTGGTATCACATCCTTATTCAAATAGTGGAACATAAAGTGTGTTGCTATTTTAATTTAAGACAGGTGAGATGACGTTTTTAAAAAACAATTTATTGATGTGGAAATGACATTACAGTTAAAATGATAAAACCTCATAATTAGTTCTGCCTTTGTCTCCCATGCATATGTGCAGTTTACATTTTTAACAGAGTAGCTGTCCGAGACAAGAACAATCAAGAAGAAATACGTTTTTTGTGGGGTGGGGGCATTCATACAAATGAGTACATGTCTCAGTAGGTTTCTAAATAGTGTGGTCTTTCTATCCAGCTGCTGTGAGATCTCAAATTTGAAAGCTTTCTTCCTATTTCTGCATTTTGGCAGGGTGATCAAAACCTCAACAGCTTACTGTTACTGACAGCGCAATCATTCTAGCTCTTTGTTTCAAACCTGATTATTTTCCTCATTTCAGGAAGAAACACACCTAATTAACCTTTACTATTACCTTGAATGTTGTTCACTTTTTTTAATGATAAATCTGCCTATCCACACTCTGATCTCCTCTGAAAACCTGGAGCCTGTGCAGTGTTGGTATCATGACCTTAGATTGTCCGAAACCTAAATGAATATATGGATTACAATTCCATCCGGGTCCAGATTCTCCATTAAAGTAACACTGCAGAGAGTTACAGAATTTTGCAAATTGTTGAATTTAGTTTTAACTGTGAAATCTGCTGCCTGTATTTCTTTAAAAACGACTTCCAAAGACTATTTAAGAATTTGGCAGATTCTGGACACTCTGTAATGTTACCTTATTATAGCAATTCCAGACTTACTACCCATTAGGTCTTTTTTTAAAAAAATGCCCCTACCCAAAATGCTAACGGTTTTAATTTTTAAAAAGTATTTCAGCTAAATGAATGTAACACGGACATTTGCAAGTTCCTGATTGCAGAAATTCTTGCAGCATGCATTCAGCCCACTCTGGCTTATTATGAAAATACCATCAAGCAAGTGTTTATAAATGTATCAAAGATACATTCTACAGAAATCTATCAGAATTTACAAAAAGTAATATCCTTACCGTAGAAGGGGTTGCTGTCTGGAGGTCTGGGTGCAGAGCTGATTATAATATCAGTTTACGTTGTTCAAGGGGGAAGTATATGACCATGATCTTAATGCAACCACAAAAAAATACTATACGTCTAGCTTGCACAGGAATAGTGACGTAAATAGTACGCTTAAGGTTCACCTGGCAGCTTTTATATTTATTGTATTAATTTGACCTAATTCATCAACTTGGGAGTGTTTAGAGAATAGCATGTCGTTTGCAGCATTTTGCAAGTGCAAATTAGCAAAACAAAATGAGTGTGTGCTGCGATCCGATTAGAATCTGTGTCTTTTAAACCATATAACATTTAATTGGACCCTCAATCTGATTTGTAACGAAAGTAGGTTTAGAACAGATGCAATGTGGCAAACCAGCATTAGAATCAGTCCACTCGTGTTATAAGGTAAATTTCATTTACTGTATGCAACTAACTAGCTATTGCAACCAGGCAATAATAATAATAATAATCCTTGCATTTGATATAGCGCTTTTCACGTCGGGAGGATGTCCCAAAGCGCTTCACAGAAGACACTGTAAAGTGAATTGACTGTATATTTGTGGGCGAACGCGGCAGCCAATTGCGCACAGCAATGTCCCACAAACAGTCGTAGATTGAAAATGACCAATTTATTATTGTTTTTGGTTTTGGAGGGATTATTATTAGGCGTGTGGAGTAAGGAAACTTGCCCAAGGTTTCGCCCTGCCTGGAATTAAACTCAGGTCTTTCGCTTGCAAAGCGAGTGCTCCAACCACTCTAATAATGCTCTAATAGTGCCATGGGACACTAATTTCCATCTGAACAGGCAATGCATAGGGGGAGCAGATATCAGGCCTTTTCTCACATTTGGTTATGTAAAACAAGCTTTTCTATAAACCAGTTCTTCTAGGCAGTAATTCCTAATTAAGGAGGAGGCTGAATTTGTTTTTATCCTGGAGTGTACAGTCTTCCTGTGTGAGTGGATTAGGAGGTGGTGGTGGGTGAGAGGATTACAATAGCTCATAATAATAATAATAATCCTTGCATTTGATATAGCGCTTTTCACGTCGGGAGGACGTCCCAAAGCGCTTCACAGAAGACACTGTAAAGTGAATTGACTGTATATTTGTGGGCAAATGCGGCAGCCAATTGCGCACAGCAATGTCCCACAAACAGTCGTAGATTGAAAATGACCAATTTATTATTGTTTTTGGTTTTGGAGGGATTATTATTAGGCGTGTGGAGTAAGAAACTTGCCCAAGGTTTCGCCCTGCCTGGAATTAAACTCAGGTCTTTCGCTTGCAAAGCGAGTGCTCCAACCACTCTAATAATGCTCTAATAGTGCCATGGGACACTAATTTCCATCTGAACAGGCAATGCATAGGGGGAGCAGATATCAGGCCTTTTCTTACATTTGGTTATGTAAAACAAGCTTTTCTATAAACCAGCTCTTCTAGGCAGTAATTCCTAATTAAGGAGGAGGCTGAATTTGTTTTTATCCTGGAGTGTACAGTCTTCCTGTGTGAGTGGATTAGGAGGTGGTGGTGGGTGAGAGGATTACAATAGCTCATGTGTCTGTTTATGGAAGGTTGGCAGTCCTGTTGACTTACGGCAGCCATTACAACAGCCCAAACTGTGCAGATTACCTGTGCAATCACACTGCAACACAAGTGCTCACAGCTCATTCATCTCACACTGAGATCATTCTTGTTACTCTTGTCTATGCTGCCTCTGGGGTACGCACTTTATGTTGTGGCTACCAAAATTGTATCCAGGTTCAGCCTGACCTGAGCACTTTACAACATGAGCATAAACATTTGGCAATTGGGGATAGGAGCTCAGCTGATTTGGCAGTATAAACCAGCAACCTGTTAGAGCCCTTTATATTAATTTCTTGAGCTGTCAGAAACCCGTTTAAATTATTTTATCCCAGACTTACTGATGGAGGAATATCTGTGGTTTTAAACTAAAGTGTAAAATGCCTTAGCAATTTTCAAGAAACTGTAGTGAATCTATAAGCCTTGTACATGAATCTTCTACATTATTGTGCTATATTACCAATATGCATGTTCTGTCCCAAACACAAGTAATTTCAAGCTCTTCTGCAGTGGGCTACCTCCCCTCACTTTTTCGCACAAACGCTTTAAAAAGTTATTATCTTTTATTTGCTAGTGACTGTCTATTTTTGCTAGTTACTGTCTATTTTTTGATTATATTTATACTTTGCATTGGTTATAAACTCGTACGTACTTGCTTCAAATATATTTAGTGTTATTTACAACATTAGCCAGTTATTTTTTGACTATTTCTCAAGAGCTCAGATACCAACTGTTCTCTCAGCAGCACAGGAAATTGAAAAGGAGTCTGATGAAATTTGCAGATAAATCTCTGATCCTACATGCACATACATGCTGCACAGATGCCAAAATCTGATTCAACCAGAAGAAGCTATATTTGATAGATTCTCTTAAAAGGGGAAACAGTCAGATCCTGAGAAAGGGCTTGGGGACCAAGCAGAAGTGGAATTAGATTGACTTAGATTGTGTGGTGGGAAAAAAGCACCATTGCATTCCCAATGAGCCAAATGACCTGCAATGTAACATTATAAGGTCTTGTCCTAATCTAGACACTTTAGGATCATCATATGAATATATTTCTGAAGTGTTTCAGGCCACACACCTGGCTCTGGTGAGAATACCGAGCAACCATCAGAACCCATAACTGTCCCTTTTCAAATGATAGAAGGATTGCTTTATAATAATAATAATCCTTCCATTTGATATAGCTACTTACGACGTCTTCAAGATCTCTCAAAGTGCTTCACAGCGTAAAACATACTGTAAAGTTAATTAACTGTATATTTTGTGGACGAAACACAGCTGCCAATTGTGCACAGCAGTGACCCACAAACAGCTGTGGATTAAGTGTTTTTTTAACAGGTTGTTCTCCCCGGTAAAGGGATCCACCAATTGACTAACAACTGGGTTCCTATTTACTGCTAAGTAAACAGAGGCATGTGGAGCAAGGAAACTTGCCCAATGTTTTGCTCTGCCTGGGAATTGAACCCAGGTCCTCTCACTTGCGAGGTGAGTGCTCTAATCACTAAGCTACAGGACTTCATGAGTCAGTTCAGTCCTTTGCCCAGTTCCTCTCTAAAAAAATAGAAGATGTCAATATCACAAGAGGCAGTTCCTCAGCACAATTGCTCTGAAAGTCGCACATTGACTCAAAATTCATGAGGAATGCTTCATTAAACTTTTGCTACCGGCACTTGTAAATGGTTAACCAACAAATTGTAACATTTCAGATGGTCACTATTTTTAGGCAATGAGAAACTGTTCCTATCAGACCAGTAGGAACTGAGAGCTTGCTTTCTCTTCCATTACTGTTCTTCTTTGAAAATCCAAATGATCTATGTAACTTTGAACTCTTCATTATTTGTTCCTGACTAATTTAATTTTCTTGTAAAGACATTTCCCCACTGCTTACTTACATGCTGAATTGTCTACATTACCAGATTTATAGCCAAAACTTTGTTGTTGTTGAAAAATTAACCAAACATGTGATGTCTAATACATAGTGTAGACCTTGATGGAGAAGTATTGTGCTGTGGTTGCTATTTCTCTTTCTCTTTCTATAATGAAAACAAATTCAGTTCTGTAAATCTCCTAGCATAACTTGGAGCCGTAAATTCAGGAATTCCCCTCGTTGTTTGTGTTACAGATTAGAATATTTTTTTCCCTGTAGAGGATTATTAGAACACACAATGCTTTGCACAAGTGTCTGTTAAAAGTAAGATTGTAACGTTTGAAAGGGGATTAGATAAATATTTGAGGAAAAATTATATGAAAGGGTATGTGGAAAAAGCAGGGACTTGAGATCATTATTTCCTATAAAATCGCAACCCATCTTGTATTGATGCTGGAGAATGCACACCTGGCTGGCTCACTTCCTGCTATTTCCCGCGCTAAAAAGGCTGATTTCCAGGTCATCAGATCACTGCGAGCAGCACACAGGAAGTGGCATGGGTGGTAACCTAATGACTTGGCAAGTCAGTAAGTTTAGTGTGAGAGCGAGGCAGTTTGCGGGAATAGAGCAGGCCAGTTGCACGTATGTGCAGGGAATAGGATCTACACCCCAACTATGTTATAACCAAGTCAGGACTTTACAGCAGCACATTGTATGAGCTGCATTGAATATAGCTCCAATGGAGGAGATAGCACCAACATAGACACAATGGGTGGAATGGCTCCTGGGGTCTGTGATACCACACCATTTATTTTTGAAATCTGATGTAACAATGTGATGTGAAACAGAATGCACGTTCTTCCATCGATGATTGCCCTTGTTCTCTTATCTGGGTTTGTTTCAATGTCGTTGTGACATCAAACACAGTGATGCATAAAATGTATTTTAAAACATAGAGTCAATTCATTTTACAGGTATTCTGTGAAGCGCTTTGAGACGTCTTGAAGACATGAAAAGGCACTATATCAAATTCAAGGATTATTATTATTATATGCACCTGAGGAAGCTAAATGGAAAAACGTTAGGCCACAAACAGTTGAGGTTCTTTCTGAGAAACATTAGCTGTTTTAAGGCAAATATATATGATCTTGTGGGGAGGGATTTGGGCCACAGTGACAGCAGCTATAATTTATAGCATTTGGCAGTTAGCCCGCACCTCTGTTCTATTTAACCCTTTTGCGTATCCAATTTCACTGATGCTTTAAACATTTCGGGGAGAAATTGCACCTAGATCTAGATTTACACTCTTTTCTTAGTATTTTTCAGCGTGCAGACATTGACAAATTGTTGAATTTAATCTTCACTTTGAAGCAGGTTTTCTATACTTCTTAAAACATTGTACAGAAAGTCAGCTTTGAACGTAAGACTGCATTTAAAAATTTGCCGCATTCTGGACTCTTTGAAATCTAGCATAAGTTGCAACTTCCACCCGCCGGAGATTGAAACACTAAATGTGGGATAATGCAGTGATTTTTGCTGCAGGGTGGTCTTAGCTGGACAAGGTGAGCAAGCTTACCAGGAAGTGCTCTCAA